GTGACCCTTTGCTCTGCATGCGCATGTTCTTGTTCGATCCCGCACCCCCTGTGCTCGCCCCCTTCTTGCGCTCACGATCAGCGCGGTACTTCGTGTTGGACTCGCTGATCGTCTTGCCTTCCATGCCACCCCCCTTGCTTGTGCAATACGGCCACGTATGCGTCGTGGGCTTCGGGCAGCTCGGCGTGTTGGTACAAAGCATGTTGGTACGGCCAGACGATAAAGCGGCATACGCCTCCGCAACATTCGTGCTACGCGCGGCGGCGTCGGCGGCTTGCTTCGCATCCAAACGTTCCTTCACCTTTGCGAGTGTTATGCCCTCCGTCCCGAGTAAGGCGTCCGACAGGGCGGGGTTGTTCGGAATTAGCGCGTTGATTATCCCGCTCAGGAGGAACTGCTCAGGGTCGGGAGGTCCACACTGCCAGATCTTATCGCTTGTTTGGTTAAGGAGAGTGGTCGTCGCGGCGTAGGTGGAAGGGTCGGAAGAATACACAATTGATGCGAACTTCTTCAGCGCTGCAATTTGGCCAGCCGGGCCGCGGAATTCATGACGGAGGCGCAGCGTCTGCCACGTCTCCTTTGCCGACTTGCACTCCACGATCTGCGTGCACTCGGTGACCGTAAGAACCTCGTTGAGGAAGGAAATGACAACCCTGTCTGTGTCCACCCATGCGCGGTGATGCGCGGGGAACATCTGGAATGAAGGGCAGATGTTTGGGTCCTCCGGCACGTCCTCGATGAATCGCCAAGCACCCGGGGACATGCCCAGGGTGTTGCGCACCTTCACCTTGAACGGGAGCCAGTTCTCGCGTTCGAGAGCGAGCTTGTCGTCGTCGGTCCATCCCGCGAGGGACACGGGGTATACCCTCGGGACGGGACCGGCGCCAGCGATGTGCCCCGAAATGGAGCTGTGGACGTCGTGCGGATTCTGCACATAGCGGTGCTGAGCATGAGCATGATGGTGGGCCTGCGGCAGGTAGATCGGCCTGGCAGGCGCGTTGGGCACCCCCACATCGTGAGTGTCGTTGAAGGGCGTCACTGGAGGTTGCTGGGGTAGAGGACGCGTCGCATATGGCAGCGCTTGCTGGGCGGGCGGCTGAGGATGATATGGCCCCCATGGGTTCTCCACAGACGGGCGGAATGGGTTGTGGATCGACCACGAGGACGGTAGAGTCATTTGAGAAGGAATGGGTTCGCGGATATCGCTGGGTCGTGCGCACTTGGCGGGTTCGTGAAAATGAGAGTATGCGAGCTCGCGGGGTATCGCCAAACGCCGTAGTACAGGGTCGATAGGTCGTTGTCGTCAACAACGGCCTATATGCCCATAACCTGCTCGACAACCTGTACTGTGGTAGGGTAAGTCCTAACCTCACACGGACGTATTGGTACGCGAGTCATATTCACCTGTGGTAGGGTAAGTCCTAACTACAGGTATATATCAGTATTCGAACACGTAGAATACAAGGACGCGACTTATCCTCACACGGACGTATTGGTACGCGAGTGAGGGTAGTCGGCCGCCGCGTCACGGCATATGAACACATGTGACGCGGAGACAAATCCGGTTTGTACGCAGAAGATAGAATGCTCGCCCAACACACTCCACTGCCGCAGATGCCGCCGGCGACACAACAGACTTTCCACATCATCCCGCGCATAGCTATGTCCACGGAAATTGTACCTATGTTCACGGGTGAGCCTGTGCCGAGTCCACTACAGTAATCCCCGCGACTTTTATCAAGAAATTCCACGCACATATGCGGGATATTGGGACCGATAACACCCAGAACACGGGACGCCCGCAAAATCGATGCATTCCCTGACTACCTCGTCGAAGAGTCCCCTGCTGAAAAGTAGTTCCATGACCTCCAGGCTGGCGCCAATGCGATGACGACGTGGGCGATGCTGGAGGCCGCGTTCCATGTACGCTTCCCAGGGCCGGAGAAGGCTGAGGACACAGCGCAGGAGTGGGAACGTGAGCTGGCGGCGATGAAGCTCACGCTCGCCGAGCTCGGCCTCACAGTCAAAGTCGGCGGGGCAGACATCTACACACACATCCACTTCGCGTCCCGGCTGCTCGAAGTCACGCGGCTGGCGGGTATCGCGAATGTCACCAGCGGCATCTATCAGTCGCGCGACGCGTTGCCCGAGGTCATTCGGGACAAGGTGCCGTCGTGGGTGTCTCGTATACTGCTGCGATCAAGGCGATCGACCGAGCCCACACTCGCGAGGGCGTCGCCAAGGCAAGAAAGGCACAGGAGATGGAACGTGCTGTCGCTGACCTCAAGGCCCGTGCGACGCCGTTAACGCTGGTGAGCAAGATGGCAGTGCAGTTGTCATGCATAGCACTCGCAACACCATGTGCAGCAACAGCGTCGTTGCCCGCACGGGCACCTGCAGGCACCAATCCGTTCGGAGGAGGAGGAAGGCAGGGGAACTTGTTTACGCTGCCCGAGACGACGGAGGAGGGAAGGATGGTCCTGCACCAGATCGTAGCAGGGCTGTCGGGGTCGATGCTGCAGGATGACACGGCAGGGCACACGGAGTACACAAGGCACATGTTCGAGGCTATATCCTTTTACTTGTTTTGAGTCCGAAATCATCTCATTTGGCTCGAGGTAAGGGGCAGGAGGGAACTTGAGAGCATAACGGTTACTGTGTCTGTCCTCATTACATAGCAGAAAGTTGCTGATCGTGTATGAGGAAGATCCCTGTAGGCTGTTTGATTCGGGATCGGGCCGTTCATGTCTTTTTCGATTATTATTGTTTAATCTGCTGTGTGGGTTTCAATAATAAGGTTTTGGTCTGCGCCGCATTGAATGTATTTTGTGGTTTGTTCCAGATCATCCTGTTTGGCTTGAGTTGCGGAATAGGAGGGAACAGCCTGATAGCACAATGGTTAGTATGTCTTCAATCCCTTTGGGGTTCTGAAGAAATTATGAGGAAGGTTCCTGTTGAATTCGGGGCCAGGCTATATCCTTTTGTTGTTTTAATTGGTGGGTTCGTCCGAGATCAGCTCATTTGGCTCGAGGTAAGGAATAGTAATTAATGGCCTGATAGCATAATGGTTAGTGCATCTGCAATTCATATGTATTCCGGGAACTCATTCTGCAGAAGATCCCTGCTCAATTCGGAGTCAGGCCGGCTACGAGCTTTAGTTTTTGCCTCTTTTATTTTTACTCCGCCTCGATACTGCATATTACCCGTTCTCGCCGTCGCACGCGCGGCTCTATGGCTGTAATAATAAGACATTATTATTTGAAACACAGCCAGCCTTCTTTGGCCAAAAACTACGCTACTCCCGATGGCTTGCGCAGTTTATACAAAGGATCCGGCATCAAATTTTTACACACTCGATGAAAGGATTTTATGTGCACAGGTCCGATAATTTCACCAGACCGGTTGCCCAGCACCTTCCAGGGATTTTACCACAACCTCACTATGCTAAGCGCACACTGCTACGAGAGGAGAATACCGAACCTGCCTAAGACATCGTTGGATTTGTGGATTGTTGATGGCAGTGTTGTCATTGACGGGGTTTGGCGGGGGTTTAACGCTTGTGAGGAGAATGGTCGAGGTTTTGACTGACTTTGATTGACCAGTCGAGGCCGCGGGCCGAGCATTCCGATGCGTCAATTCCGGGACTTGTCAAAATCTCTTGTCAAATCTCGTGATTTCGTTAAACCATTTTTTATCAACGCTGTCAGCATATATGGTCAGCTTGACTGGTTTTCAACTGTCAATAACCCGTCAATCGCTCGACAGGCCAAGGATGTTTGACGTCTCTTGACTCTTCCGACTTGACTGCGCCCACACTGGCCGATGACATTGATCGCAACACTGATGAGGCCTCGCTGCCGAACGCGATAAACCGAACAGAGGTAGACACTTTTTTGGACCGCGGATAATGCAATCATTTTAATGAGCCGGTGGAATGGAATGTGATGAGCTGACCCATTCACATTGAAGTAGGGCCTGGCCTGGATCTTTCTTTTGTTTGCCGAAAGAGCCGGAGTGGGGGTATCACAGACGGCGATCACAGACGCCAGATACCAGAGATATGGGTGGGTTGTGATTTGGTGTTTAACCAGTGGGTTCCTGTGCAACCTGTGTATACTTCAGACTAATCTTTAGTGGTGTTAACGTTGGAAATTTTAAGGTGCAAGGATCTTGAATGTTTGACGTCTCTTGACTCTTCCGACTTGAATGCGCCCACACTGGCCGATGGCATTGATCGCAACACTGATGAGGCCTCGCTGCCGAACGCGATAAACCGAACAGAGGTAGACACTTTTTTGGACCGCGGATAATGCAATCATTTTAATAAGCCGGTGGAATGGAATGTGATGAGCTGTCCCATTCGCATTGAAGTAGGGCCTGGCCTGGATCTGTCTCTTGTTTGCCGAAAGAGCCGGAGTGGGGGTATCACAGACGGCGATCACAGATACCAGAGATATGGGTGGGTTGTAATTTGGTGTTTAACCAGTGGGTTCCTGTGCAACCTGTGTATACTTCAGACTAATACTCCAGCGGTGCTAAAGTTGGAAATTTCGAGTTGTGTGTTTGGGCAATTCGGGAGACCCACCTGGAATAATGTCCCAGTACTTATTACCCCCATTACGGCTCCATGCTCCTCGTCAAGCGCGGGGGTGGCCTTCATGATGCCAAGCGCGAGGATTGTGCCCGTAACCTCCGCCTCGAAAACCGTGTGTTCACCGCTTGGTCCCAGAACTATGATGCATTGATGTTGTGAGGATTCAGAGGATCCCTGTTCGATTCCGGGCCAGGCCATTCATTTTTTTTAAATTCATTTGTGCTGCAGGGTGGATGGACGACTGGATAGAGAAATAGTTAGTGCATCCTCATTCACTAGAGGGAAGCTGGGGTATAAGGAAGATCCCTGTTTGATCCGGCCCCTACTCTTTGCTCTACATTTTATTTCATTTCGCGGTTTGTCCGAGAACGTGTCATTCAGGCTGAGTTAAAGGCCTGAGATGTATGGCTTGATAGCACAATGGTTACTGCGTCCTCATCAAATAGTTGCTGGGTAACGGTTTACGAGGAAGATCCCTGTTCGATTCGGGGTCAGGCTAACTTCGACTTTCGTCTCTTTTATTTTTACACTTCCTCCATACTTCCGGCGTCCGCCCGCTTACTACTCCGCTTCCGACCCGCGCGCTCCAAATCTTACTGAACGCTCTGATGGAAGCACCCCTATCCCAATGCGGAATGTCGGCATCACGTCACACCCCAAGTCGTACCACTCGAAAAATACTCGGGCTGGCATAAAAAGCGAAAATGTGGTTCGAGGCATAATCCGCGTTTCTTCACACCCACCTCCACCCTCCTCCTCCCACTTTTACCTCGGCCCATTCAACATGGCCCTCTCGACCTGGCTTCTGCTGCTCGTCGCGCACCCGCTCGAGTTCCGCACGCTACTGCAGTACCGTATCTACCATGACCAAAAGCGCGACATCACCGCCCCGCGTGAGCACGCCACCTCGGGCTGGGACCGCGCGAGCATGCGTCGGTGCTGGGAGTTCCTCGACATGACCAGCCGCAGCTTTTCGACCGTTATCAAGGAGCTCGAGGGCGACCTCGCGCGCGTCGTACGTCGCCTCTCTTTCAGTTAAATCAGTTGAATTGACCCACACACCAGATCTGCCTCTTCTACCTCGTCCTCCGCGGGCTCGACACGATTGAGGACGACATGACGCTCCCGCTCGCGATCAAGCTACCCCTCCTGCGCGACTTCCACGTGCACACCGTGACGCCCGGCTGGGCCTTCACGGGCTCGGGGCCCAACGAGCGCGACGCGCAGCTGCTCGTCGAGTACGCCGTCGTCGTCGACGAGCTGCTGCGCCTCCCGCCCGCGTACCGCGACGCCATCCTGACCATCGCCGCGAAGATGGGCGCGGGCATGGCCGACTTCGTCGCGCGCGCCGCTACGCTCCCCCCGTCCGCCCCGGAAGAGAAGATCGCGGCGGGCGGCATCGACACGATCGCGGACTACGATCTGTACTGCCACTACGTCGCGGGGCTCGTCGGCGAGGGGCTCTCACTCATCTTCGCCGCGTCGGGCAAGGAACGGCCCGAGCTCGCCGCCGAGCGCGCGCTCAGCAACAGCATGGGCCTCCTCTTGCAGAAGACGAACATCACGCGCGACGTCCGCGAGGACGTGCTCGACCGCCGCTACTTCTGGCCGCGCGCCATCTGGGGCGCACTGGGCTTCGCAAGGATGGAGGATATGCTGCCGCCGTCTCCCTCTTCCTCCTCTTCCACCCCTCCTCCGCCGCCGCCGCCTACTCCGCCGCCTACGCGTCCCCCGTGCCCGGCACCCCGAACCCCCGCTGGGTCCAGAGCGCCATGGTCCTCGACGCCCTGCGCCACGCCCCCGACGCGCTCGACTACCTCCGCCTCCTGCGCAACCAGTCCGTCTTCAACTTCTGCGCGATCCCGGCGACGATGGCCATCGCGACGCTCGAGCTGTGCTTTGGGAACGAGCGGATGATGCGGGGGAACGTGAAGATACGGAAGGCGGTCGCTGCGGAGGTGCGTGTCTTCTTCCCCATCGAGGTCGCCGAGTGCGCGCAGGCAATCCCTTCCTGCCTCCGCCGAGACTGCCGTTGGGCGGTCGAGCGCGCCGCAGGCATTCCCTTCTTCCTCTTATCCTTCTCCATACCCCATACTCGATGCTAATGCCCACCCAGCTGATAATGCGCTCGACGAACCCGCGGGAGGTGGGGCTGATCTTCCGGGAGTACGCGCGGCGGATCCACGCGCGGGCGGTGCCGGCGGACCCGAGCTATGTGCGGATTAGTGTGGCATGTGGGAAGGTGTGTTTTTTTGGATTTTTTGGGCTATGCTTTTTTCTCGCCTGCACCTACCCGTCTTGCTTTTGCCCCGACCCTCCGTTCCGCACACCCCCCTGTCCTCCCCTCCTCTCCCCTTCGCCGACCCTCCGCACGTCCCTTACATACCCAATGCCTCACCCATCCTTCACTTCCTCGTCGGAGGGCAAGAGACGCTTATCCGCGCCGCCCCCACGGCCCCCCATACCGCCGCCCTTCCCGCCTTTCCCTTCCCATCGCCCCGCCTTTGCCCGCCCCACACACACCTTCCCCCGCCCTCGCCCCATCCCCCGCGCGCGCTTCGTCCTTTCCCCTCCGTCCGCTCCGCGCCCTCCTACTTCTATGTACACCGCCTCCTCGCTTCCTTCCGTCTGTACTTCTCCGTCCAGCGTCCCGCCCGGGCGGCGTCGTGCGGTGATGCGCTGCATGTGTATCCGGGGCTGCGCAGTCTGGTGTCTCGGGGGAGGATCCCTCCTCGCCCGGGCGGCCGGGTCGCGTCCCCTCGCGTTGGCGACGGGGCGCCGATGGCGCGGGACGTGCGCCCCATTCGACACGCCCCGCTCCCTGTCCCTGCCGTTCCTCCCCTTATACCTCCGTCTCCTCCCCGCTCCCATCTCCCCTCCCCGCTCCTCGTTTTCTCCCTCCCTCCCTCCCAACCCTCACTAACACCCTCCTTCCCCCCAGATCGAACAATGGTGCGAACACTACTACCCCTCCTTCGTCCTCGTCTCCGCCGGCTCCACCGCCTCCCCCACGCAGTCCATCGACCCCGCCGACGCGCGCGGGCGCACCTTCCTCCTGTCCGAGAAGCGCGACCAGGCGCTCTCGCAGAAACTCCGGATCGAGGCGCTGCGCGCGGGCGGGGCGGTGGGCGCGGTGGGGCAGCGGCATAAGGCGCAGGAGATGCAGGTGGGGGAGCTCGCGCTGTATGTGGGCGGGGCGCTGCTGCTTGTGGCGGCGGTGTGTGCGGGGGTGGTGTGGCTTATTATGCAGATGGCGGATTAGATTAGGGGGCGGGCGGGCGGGCGACGCGAGCCGCGAGCGGGTGGGCCGAGCGAGCGAGCGAGCGGGCGGGCGAGTGGGCGGGCGCCGTCGGTTAACGGGCGCGCGCGCGCGGGGGCGGGAGGCACGCAGAGACGAGCGGGGGACGAACCCAGGACCGAACGACCGAACGAGCGCACGGCACGCTTTGGCTTGCTGTATATTATCTTACTTATATCGCATCGCATCATCTCTTTTTTTTTTTACATACTATCATCGTTTCTATCTCAGTCTGCTTTCGGGTTTCGTTGGCCTCTTGAGGGTTCTGGCGCGGCGGCGCGTCGTGCGAGGGCTTTGAGGCGGGAGGGGTGGGACCGAAAACGGGAGGCCGGAAGGGGAAGGGACGCGTACACGTGCGCGGGATGCGGCGCTTGGACCGACGCGAGTATTAGGCAAGGGACGCGATTACTTGCGCAAGGGACGCGAGTACTTGTGCAAGGGACGCGAGTACTTGTGCAAGGGACGCGAGTACTTGTGCAAGGGACGCGAGTACTTGTGCAAGCGACGCGGCTGTGTATCACTACGCTCATTCGACCGATGCGACTTTCCCTTTTTGTTCGCTTGGTACCGTTTTAGCCGTTATATTTGGTGTGACTTGAGTGTTGGAATTTGGCATGACGGCGTTTTGGAATGGTATGACGGCACACCACAGGGGGCGGTGGAGGGCTATTTGGACGAGAGAGGGAGGCAGGCTCGGAAGGGGTCTTCGCTGTGCAAACGTCAAGTCTCATTACAGCTGTGCCCTTCCCTGCCGTCTAAATTCTAGACACCAGAGCGAAGAAAGTAATGATTTCGATCCGGGCTGAGATCGTGCGCTTGCTTGCCGGGAATTAGGTCTGCTTAGGCGCTATAACGCGTTTAATATACCGACATCCGTGTGGGCGGGATTTCCATTGTTGAATTTCGACGGACGCTGGAGGTGTTTAAACTTTATACCCCTATAAACCACGCTTACACCGCTTGTAGTTGTGGATATATTTTAGACACCAAAGCGAAGAAAGGAGTGATTTCGGTCCGGACTGCGATTATGCGCGCTTGCCAGGAATTAGTTCTGCTCGCTGCAAAGACGGGAACCATTCCGCGTCTAATAAACCGACATGCTTGGTTTGAATTTCGATGGAAGCTGGCGGTGTTTAAACTTTACACATATGCGCGCCATATAAACCGCGCATGCATCGCTTGTGGTTGAGCGTAGATTCTAGACACCAGAGCGAAGAAAGGAGTGATTTGATCCGGACTAGGGGTTCATTTGCTAGGAGTGAATCTCGGTGTACGACATAGATATGACCTGAAGCTCTTCCCAACTGGGCGAAATTGCCAACGCTAATTCCGGAATAAAGAATATACATACGAGTCACAAACGTCATCGACCCGAAAACATCTGATAATGCTGAGTAAAGACGAGTTTAAAATATCCTTTTTGAGACTCGTACACAATCTCAATGACTCAGAGAGGGCGGGCCACCCACTCCGGTGGGCCACCTCGGCAGTAAACGCAATGACTCAAAGCCGAGGACACGAAAACTATTAAACGATGTGCTTGACCGTCTGAGACATAACACTTGCCATCCCTCTCCTGCTTGACCTCGACGTACTATGTCCGCCAAACCGATTAGCAATATTACCGTCGTCCTGGGAGCCATGAACGTCGGTGCACCAGGTATGCCTGACGCACCGTTATCCTGCAGGATGCGTGCTTATTCTTCCTAGACAACCTCGGCGCCGTCCGTTTCACCACCCACGATGCAACCACCGAGATCCTCGACGTCTTCCAGAGATACGGCCACTCCGAGGTCGACACTGCCCGGACATACGGCAACGGCACATCCGAGGAGTATCTGGGCGCCGTCGGCTGGCAGAAGCGCGGCATCAAGATGGAGACCAAGCTCTACCCCACGAAAGGGAAGACCATGGGCGCCATATTTTCCGAGGAGCTCTCGCACTCGCCCGCCGACCTGCGGAAGGGCCTGACCGACAGCCTCAAGGCGCTCAAGACCGACAAGGTCTACATGTACTACCTCCACGGCCCCGACCGCAGCGTCCCTTTCGAGGACACGCTGCGTGAGGTGAACAAGATCTACGAGGAAGGCGTGTTCGAGCGGTTCGGGATCTCCAACTACTTTTCGTGGGAGGTCGCGCAGATCTGCGAGATCTGCAAGCGCAACGGCTGGATCCTGCCGAGCGTTTACCAGGGGCAGTAC